TAGCATTTGTCCCTTTGTGACTGAGATACCTCACTCAGCATAATGTCCTCCAGGGTCACCCATTTTGAATAATATTGCATGAGTTCCTTGTTTTTCATTTCTTCTAAATATTAAAAAATAAATTTAGTTATTTAGTTATAAGTGAGCTCTGGTGGCCTAGTGGTAAAGAGCTGAGCTGCCAACTCAAGGCACGAGTCTTGAATCAATGGGAGAAAGATGTGTTATTTCCTTCTGTGTAATTTCATGTCTCTGAAAACTTGCTGGAGGGTCAGTTATGGATTGGTTTTGACTCAATGGTACTCAACAACAAAATTCAGTTATAAACATCAGAATAAGTGAAAGAGTAGCAACCCTATGACCTGAAGGGTTAAAAAACTCAAAGAATGAACATATTGGTGCTGAGTGGAAACCAACTCATAGCTGACCCTCTACTGGGTTTTCACAGGATGCAAACTGCATGGGAGGAGACAAGCTTTCTACCTTTCTTAGAACCAATGGTGGATTCAAACCACCAGAAAGGCACCACCTTTGTTAGGAGTACAAGCATTCCATAAGGACTATGCCATTACAGCGTCCTAAAAGGGCAAAAGTCAAAGTGACTCCAGGGACAAACTAGAGATATATCCCATGACTGGGAGATGCTAAGAACAGAAAGGGACAAAAGTATAAAGGTGTCAAGGGTCTTCATAGTACTTCTCATCTAAAACAAAGACAATATTGGGACATAAACAGTTTGTCAAGCTACTTGATTTGTGAACTTAAAGTCAAATGATGACAAGGAAAGAACCTTCTGGAGTAAAGCTTTCTTTGCGGAAGCCTTCAAGGGTGGTCTGAAGGTCACTATCTCATTCTTTGAGGGCTGGTATCTCATGCTGGATTTTATTTTACGCTTATAGAAAAGAAGGATTCGCTACAGTTTTTCTTTTTAAAAAATATAAGAATATGTGACCATAAAATAGAGCAATATTAAATAATCCTATGATTTATCAAGCTATTATAATTAATGTAATATAATGGAGACAGTACATATTTGTTGTTGTTGTTGTTTAATGCCGTCGAGTCGTAGACGACTCATAGCGACCCTATGAACGAACAGCCTGAGCACTGTTCGTACATAGAGTTTCCAGAGGCAAGCCATTTTGGAAGTGGATGCCGCTCCTGCTTCCAGGCTTGATTTAGTCGGGAAGCTCCAGCCAACACTGTCCACAATGGGTGCCCATTACCACGATTGGCACATCACCGTCACAGGCTTCAGCATCACAGCAACCACGAGTTACCTCTGTACAGCAATGCACAGACCAGGAGTTACCTCTGTACAGCAATGCACAGACCAGTACTATACCACCTACAAGAATGTTTGACAGAAAGACAATTTGAACCTGGCCGAGGGCCACAGATGACAAACACCCACCTTCGGCTTGGTTGCACAGCTTCCTTCCACTAGGCCAACGTAGCTCTCTCTTGGTCGTCATCATTGTTATTGTTGTTTAATGGCGTCGAGTTGTAGACGACTCATAACGACCCTATGAACGAACAGCCTGAGCATTGTTCGTACATAAGAGTTTCCAGAGGTAAGCCATTTTGGAAGTGGATGCCGCTCCTGCTTCCAGGCTTGATTTAGTCGGGAAGCTCCAGCCAACACTGTCCACCATGGGTGCCCATTACCACGATTGGCACATCACTGTCACAGGCTTCAGCATCACACCAACCACGAGTTACCTCTGTACAACAACGCACAGACCAGTGCTATACCACCTACAAGAATGTTTGACAGGAAGACAATTTGAACCTCCCGAGGGCCCTTTGGGCTTAAGGCCGCCTCCTGGTTCAAACCCTAGGCCCAGGATGGCTAGCCTCACTCCAGGGACAGAGCAAACCTGCACGTCAAACACATTCCCAGAAAAGCAGTCCACTCCAAAGCTTGCCACGATTCCTGCACTCCCCACCACCACGCTCCTGCCTTCTGGCAAGGAGAGCTTCCCACGAGCCTGTGAAGGCGATTTAGTGAGTATAATTCAGTCATAGGTTTAACATCAGTTTTAATAACATTACAGTTCCCCACTTATCTGTCATTTGCTAGAGAGGTGCTGTGATGCTGGAAGCTGTGACATCAGTATTTCAAATATCAGCAGTGTCACCCATGGTGGACATATTTCATTTCGCCAGACTATGAAGAAAAATGTGAAATCAGTGAGATTGTTCTGTAGTTTCCACATTCTGTTGGGTCACCTTTCTTTGGGATAGGAACAAATTTAGATCTCTTCCAGTCAGTTGGCC